AAATCTACTAACTAAACTTGTAACTATTTGTAACTTCAATTGAAAATTCACAAAGATTAGTTGAGAATCTCAAATTTTTTATTCTCAATATACGAATAAATTACTTAAAAAATTAAGTAAATATTTTTAAATTTATTTATAATATTAGTTAAAAATTTATGAAAAGTAATTGTGAATTGTAAATCAATTACTTATAATTTTTTGCTTTTAATATATAAATAAATTACTTAAAAAATTTATTAAATATACTTGAGATTATTTGTAATATTATCTAAAAATTTATAAAAGTTAGTTATGAATTGCAAGTCAATTATTTATTATTTTTTACTATCATTGAGTAAATTAACAAAACATAATTAAAACATAATTAAAAATATTTATAATGTTAGTTGATAATTTACTAAAGTCTGCTATAAATTTAAAACCAATCAATAAAAAATAATTTATTATAAATAAAGATTATGATTTATTATTGGTATTTTAATAATTTAAAATTTAATTTTTAATTGTTATTAATATTCTAACAATACCCCTAATTGTCTTTTTTTTTTTTATTGGTGGGTGAGATCAGCAAACAATATCATTTGCCGACCACAAAGATTAAACTTTTCTAGGATATGACAGGTCAAGGACAAAACATGTTCTACATAGATATATATATACCATTTTTTAATTTAATTTATTACTCTTACAAAATATAATACACAATTTCATTCATTAATTTTTTAAATTACTGTTAGATTCGGGATCCACCCTTAATGAGTGGAAACATTTAACAAAGCCCAAGTGACCAAATTATATAATATTAACATATATCATAGTTTTGAATTTCTTCACTTTATTTGAGTTTTGTTATGGATTCATATTCTTTTTTTAAGATTTTAAATTCTTACACTTTTATTTTTTGGTGTTTTAAGTCCTTATAATACTATTAGAACTTCAAAAAGTGCAGAAACCTAAAACACTAAAAAATAAAAGTGTATAAACATAAAAAACCCTAAAAAAAAAGCACAAGGAGTAATGGCAAAACTTGAATAAAGTATAGCGACTTAAAGTTATATTTTTTCTAATATTAAATTAAGAGTTAAAAGACATTTTTTCTCTTAACCATTTTCTTGGGTGCATATAATATTCTAAACTTGTGTTGTAATATAATTGTTCCCTTCAAGATTTAAAAATGGTGTATTAGGTACCTTGCATTTAAAAAATGTTAATTTGAACAGTTACTTAACTTAAAAATTATAAAAAAAACTTCAAAATTATAAAAAGAACCCAAAAGTAAACATTAGCATCCTAAAAAATTAATATTAATTAAATTCCTAAAATAGTGTAATAATTTATAAATCTTTCTCCAAAATTTATGTAATCCTCTTTAAAAAATTTACAACTAGTCTAAAAAATGCATTCATTTATAAATAACATTATTTAGATGAAGACTTATAAATTATCACAATAGTTTAGAAACTTAATTTAATATTAATTTTTTTATAGAGTAATTATTTATAATTTTATATGTCATTTTTTAAAATCTTCAAGGTCTTTTTCTGTAACTTTTTTCATAATCAAAGTTGATTTTTTCAATGATACTGGTGCTTAATACACTATTTTTAAATGTTAAAAAAATTACATTATATATAAGTTTAAGATATTAAATACTTTTGAGCAAATAATTTACGAGCAAAAATGCCCTCGAACCAATCAACCATTAAATTAACGAGTTATTAATTTAATATTAGTCAAATTAATTTTGACTAATAAAAAAGAGTGAATTGAGATATCAGAAGTGATTGGACGAGATCAATTTTTCTATTGTCAGTTACTCAGCATCATACAACTATTTATCCACCATTTGACACGTGGTTGTACATAGGATAATCACCCCCATCACAAATATCCCAATTCGGCTGTGCAAGTGATCGATTTGATGATCCTTCTTGGCCTCAGGCTCATCGGGTAGGCATTGAGTTAGGGTCAAGCCCCTGCTAGGCCTGGCTTGGATATAAGCATCTTTTAAAAAAACTGGAGAAACTAATTGTTTAATACTATCATATTTTTTTTAGTATATTTCATGTAATATCTTGTTTTTACTATCATCATTAATATTTTATGATTTTATTGTTAATCATTTTGAAAATTTAAAATGAACTTTTTGCTTATTAATATATGGGAATAATGGATAATTTTTAAGTATATATGTAATTTTAAAAATTATTATTTTTCTTTTTAATATTAGTTTTATATAAAATCTATTTTAAATGAGGATAATAATAGTTTTAGAAAACAAGTGTTTACGTGTGGGGTTAGGGGGAGAGGTATGAAGTAAAAAGTCAGTCTCATGCAACGATGGATTCGAAATGCGGTAATTAACCTCATGTTAAAGCTAAACAAAAATCATAACTCCTCTCTCTCTCTCTCTCTATATATATATATATATTATATCGAAGAATTATTAAACCCTAACATGAGATTTTGATAATCTCTTGCTTCCACGCAAAACACGACATGATCATGTCTTCTCATACCCTCTTCCTCTCATCATCATTATTCCCGCACTTTCATCATCACCATCTTATCTTCTACCTCCCACCAACCTCTTCGTCGGAGAGGCCTCCAAAAAAACATGAATTATCAGAAATTAAAATAAGCAGATCAGAGAGAGGACTAACAAGAAGAAGAAGACCAAGCTGATCTCATGGCTTCCCTCAAGAAGAAGAAACGCTATACCTTCTCCTCCTTCCATGATCACTACTACTTTTATATGTTCTTCTGATACAAAGATATTTATATATATATATACACACACACATACTAATAAAGGAAGGTATGATAATTTCTTCTTCGTTTACAATTTGCTTGCTTCTTCTCATCATGCTACTTTCTTCCCTCCTCTCGATCGGGGAATTGAAGCTTTATGGTCCGAATCTTAAGTTTGCTATATATATAGTTATTCCCTCATAGTGCTTTACCTCTCTCTCTCTCTCTGTGGGTTCCTAGCTTCGTCTTCTTTGCGTCTTTTCCAGGTTTGGTGTGATTTACAGTAATTCAAGAGCATATTTTTTATGGCGTGCGTCGTACTGCAGCAGATTGGCTTTCTTGTATTGATAAAGTAATGATGATTGTATCGATAATGTGAGTGTGTGTTTGTGTGTTACTAGATTATTTTTCATCAGATGAATGTAATGTATATCTGAAGTTTTGTGTCAACAAATTGAGATCAGTTATATATGTATGTTTTATGGTAAAATGTTTCTTTACAGTACACATTGCTTTGTTCAAACTTCAAACGGTGTCACTTTCTTGCCCGATTCCTTTCTTCTTGGGAAAATTTCATTAAACCTCCAATCAAACTTATTTTCAGTCAACTCTCAAAATTTTGAAACATCAATTCAATTTCGGTAGGTCCCATTTGAGTTAAATTGAAATTAAGTTTTTGAGAAAAATAACACAAATAAGCCCAATCTCGATATCAGTTATTTATTTTCTATACAGCACTTGTTCCTTTTTTTTTAATATGAGTTATTCATACATTTAGTTTTATTTATTTATATTTATAGTAGTGTTATACTGTTAATAAAAGTTATAAATTTTATTTATATTATTTATTCATTTTTCATATATCAATTGTTCATTTTTCTTATATCATTGTTTTTATTTGAGGGGATTGGGGTTATTTGTATCATTTCTCTCAAAGGGGCTTAAAGAAAATTTCCCTTTCTTCTTCAACTATGGTTTCGTTTATATATGATGAGATGTATTATTATCACTTCTTAGGATATATGTATTAATGTATATATGTAGGTATGTATCCAAATGTCTTCATTTCCAACGATCGCACAGATCTATCATATATTCATTGAAATATTATTCGTAGTAATTATTTACCATAACGCGTTCCACTTTAGCGCGCCAGTTCATTAAAACTTTTCATGGTTTGATTAATTAATTAGCTAGTTAGCATTGTCTTAAAATAATACGCTATTACAATTTAATTTTAAATATTTATTAGTAAGATATTCATATTCAAATAGATGTTATTTCCTCCAATCCTAAATGTAGGAGGAGTAATATATACTAATTTAAAATTTACAAATATTAAAAAAAATGTGTGCTGAGAGCCTGAGATTATATTTTAAAAATATTTTACGAATCAATACGATAGTTTAGTAAATAAAATATAAATGTGAGATATACAAAGTGATGAACTGAGCTTTTATGTTTAGTACTAGATTCTTGTATCAGCAGTTAAACCCACAATCTTATGAATTTTGACTCATGAGATAAATGCTTACTAATTGTACTGATTATTGACTAATTATATTTATTAAACATGTAGACTTGAACTAAGAGGAAGAAAATTGAACATCTTTCATTGATGATCATGAGCATGTTAGAACATTACAAAGAAATCCTTCACTTCAAGGATTGTAAGCCAATCCCAGCGATGAAACAATGACCCCAAGATAATGGATGAAACTTTGAAGGACTTCCCTATCTTAATTTATACAATGTGGTGCCTTTTATATAAAACTTGTATAAGGTCACCAACAAACCATGTGATTAATGCTAGTCATCCATTATAATTTCTACGATGGCATCTTCTAGAAGGATTCTTTAGTCCTTAATATGAGGCACTTATTGGGGCATTAATTTTATTTTTTCAATATTATCCTTATTTCAAGTTATTAACCATGAAAGAGAATGTAATGCAATTTAAATTTTTTCAATTAAGTAGGGCTGAAATTGAAATTTTATTCTATTTTTGGGGTAACCTTAATGATTTTTGATAAAGTAATTAGAGTCATGTTATAATTACTTGCGATCAAAGGGAACCTTTTTTTTTTGTATGAACAATATTTTACAATTGGTTGAAAAAGAGCCCACAAAAAAGAACATTGTCAATGAATCAATGTTATGGCTGCTTTGGGCATAATTGGGCCTTCAGAGGGGATCAAGCATAAATAAAATTTGAAGTAATTTGTGTGGCCCAATAAAATTAGCGTCCTAGGGGACAAACACTGTTGGCCCGGCTTCAACTGTACGATCGCTCGTCCCTCACTCTCGAGCACCGCAACAGCGGAGCTCCACCGTACTCGTTCGTCGCTGCTCATTTCCACTACTCTGTTCTCTCTCTACCCTTGCTCGGAAGAGAATCCTGTACTTGGATTTCTGGATACTACTGTATCTTCTCCTGCAGATTTTTTTAGCCTTCTCGAAGGGTCAATTTCTCTGTATGTTTGTGAGCATTCATAGCGATGGCATTGGAATATCTTAGTGGGCTTCTGGATCGAGCGTATTGATGCCTCGTTTACGAGTTTGAGGGTTTTTGGTTGCAGCATAAATTGTGCCAACAGGAGACTAAATTAGGGTTTGGATCATTGACATGTCCGATACTTCGGGTGCTCGAATTACCATTACTCTTGGCCGTAGTGGTCAGGTACAATTTTTGCTAAAGATGCTTGAAATCTCTTTTGGTTCAAAATATTTTCCAATAATAGAAATTCGGGCTTCTTGTTTTATTTTTTAATTTAACTCGAGGAACTAATGTGTTTGGTGCTGTGTGCTGTTACTTGATTGTTTTAACTGGTTCATGTCTACGTGCTTGACTGATTAATGGCGAATAAATTTGATTGTGTTTTTGTCCTCGTGCTTAACAATGGCTCTGTTACTTTCTTTGTCGAATTTTACTTCACCATAACCCCTTATCTCTTCTTTTGTTAAGTACTATATGATGAAAACCAAATCATTGCAGGGTTTACTTTTTACTATTTCCTGATTCTGGGCATTTAAATGTTAGATTTTGTTTTAAGACGTGATGGGTTGGATTTACCTTAATGACTTATTATGTAATTGAGCTTAGGTTGTCAAGAGGGATCTGTCTGCGTCGGATGCTTCTTTCTCTTCTTCTCTTCCCACAGCCGGGATTAAGCGCTCTGTGAGAGATAGAATAGGACATAATGCAGACAGTTCCTTATGGCGTGAGAATGATTTCAGCAACAATAAACGGTGTGTTTGCTACTCGTTTAATCCCCTATTGTCTTGATGGTATCGGATCAATAGTCCTTGAAATGATGATATCAATATCTGATATTTCCTTAGTGTATCCTGTGTTTGTTCAGAAACTTCATGTTACACACACCCTGCTGCATGTCGTTCTTTGTTTCATTAGTTAACAATTCACTGTAAATAATAGTCTTATTCATGTTTACTGCAGACAGCGAGGGGACATAAGCATGCAAAATGGGCTGGATGGTGGTAATTGTAAACTGCCCAAATAGTGAATTTATGTTTGCATCTTTACGTTGCTTTATTGTCACTATATATCTAATTTATTGCCATTGATTTATTTAGAAGGGCGAATTAGCAAAGATGATCTCCGCCTTAAGCTTATGAGGAAAAGTGCATTGAGGCGCACCAAGGGTAATGTTGAAACTAAGAGGCTCATGGATCTTCGAGAAAAATTGTCAACAGCAGTTCAACATCCAGTGACAAGTTCTAATTCAAAACAGCAAATACCTAGTAGGGAAGCAAGCATGTTGGGGCGAATCCCTTCAGCTAGATGTTCTGATGATTTAATGCGAATGGAAACTATGAGAAGTTCATATTCACCTTGCACGTTAAATCATACTAGACAAAGATCACCAGATGGGTTTCCTGGTGCTTCCAGGGGTATTTCCCCTCAAAGCAATGTTGAAGACCTCCAGAGAAGGCCGTTGAACAGGGCATATGATAGTTCTAGGCCTGTTGCATATGTAACTAGGGATGCTCTTGAGACTTCAAGGCCTCCAAGCACTGCTCCTGCGTCTTTAATGGCACATTCTACAGTTACCACGGTGCCTTCAACAACTGCTAAGCCTGTAGCACCCCAGCTTGGACAGCTTCCTCCACCAAGAAATGCAGCACAGAGGACTTCATACATGGTAAATGATGCTTATATTTTGATCATCAGATGCCCCCCCCCCCCGGCAGGTCATTCAGCCCTTTAGATTAGTTCTATTTGAAGAAACTTTTCCAATGACTCTCAGCTTCATGTCTTGGTTGGTTTTGTTTTCTCCTGTGACTATTTTATATCTGAGAAATAGGAATTGTTTATATAAAGAAAACTAGGTTGAGATTTTACATTATTAAAAATATAAGAAGTAGGATCATATGCAGTTTTATTTATTTTGAACATTCAGCTGTAAAAGACACATATTAGAAATGTTTTGGGTGAGTGAATCAGTTACTACATCATCTGCTGATTTGGGAACTGTTTTAGAGGAGGTGCTGTTGTATATTGAAGTTCTGGGTGTTTAATATGATTCAATATTGAATTTGTGAAGCCCCTTGTGTTTTGCAGATGACAATGGGTTCTCTTCAGGGTTTTATTCTATCAAAAATGAGTCTGGCATGCATTATGTGGACATTGTTTTGCAGGAATAGCTGCATCTTTGAAACTCTAGATTATAAATAAACTCTTGTAGTTTTATCATGACCCTCGTTACATTTAAAAAGTATATCTTGTGCACTCAATGGCTTACAATTTGTCTGAATAACTGGGCTGCTTGTAAAGTTGTTCTTCAAAATCTTTCTAGAATATTTGTAGCAGGTATCATTTTCTTTTCTCTTGATGCCTAGTGCATTTCAGTATGCAAATGAAGAAACTTCTATTGGCTACTGCTTTCTGCCTTCTGGCCTAGTTAAGATTTAGCCAAGGCACTTGAGATAAATAGAAGAGAAGCTGGTAGTGGGCAGGTTAAGTTTTATAAAAATAATGTAGTGGAAAAAAGGTTGATATAACAGTATTGGGTGTTTCCAGTATAAACAAATAATTTGTTGACTGATTTTATCTGGTTGGTCATTTGCTGATGCCATAAATTTGTGTGCTATGTGATATTTAATGGGATTAAATGATAATTTTTTATGTCTGTTAATATTTGTTATTGCATTTTCTCCTTTCTGCTTGCCTATCAAACAATTACTTCAACTTTATCTTAGAACTAAGGTCCTACTTGGAAATTTGAATCCCAGAAAGATTGGTGCGAAATAATGTTTTTCTTTGGTTCATTTAATTTCATATATTTTTTAATTTATTATTTTTGTTTAATCTTTTTGAATAATACTTTTTAAATAATCCTTTCTGTGAATTTCCCAGTGTTATAGTAGAGGTGGATGAAAATTTCAATGCCACTGTTAATTTCTCTGAATTCATTTAGGTAGTGTTTGAATTGGTATATTTGAATTTGAAATTTGGATTTAAAATCTCACATTTTAAATCCATATATTTAAAATTTTTGTTTGGGTAATTTAAATGACAAAAGTTATTATTGTTAGGTATTGTTTCGAGGGTGCACGTGGAGATTTCAAATAAGGTTTAGAAAAGATTTTAATTATGAAGGAATTAAGATAAAATTAAATCTAAATCCATAAATTTTTTGGTGCCCAAATAGGGGATTTGGCCCAATCAAAATCACAATTCATATGTATCCAAACATAGTATTAAAAATATTTCCTGTGTACCAAATTGGCTTTGAATAGATTTGATAGAGAGTAATTTCTTATTTCTAACATGTGGCTATCTTGGGTAATCATGTAGGAAAGCGAACAGCAAACACCCCAAACCGTGGATGGTCTGTTGCATGCACTGGGACTGGGAAAATATGCTATTCTCTTCAAGGCTGAAGAAGTATGAAACTCATTCATGTAAACAATGATCATCTTGCCAAATTTTAAAATATATTTGAAAATCACAATATTTTTAATGAAAGGTAAAAAGCCATTGGGTTAGAAAAATATATTATTGAATCAAGGGCTCCTTTTAGTATTTGATCCCTTCCAAGGTAAAATTAAATGTTTACATCAATTGCCTAATGAATTCTTCATGAGTTTTACTGTTTCTAAGTTTGGAAAAAATCTCTTTACATTACTTGTAGAATGCTTTCTTAATTATGAAAAGTATCAATGGTGACACGACTTAAAAAAAAAAAAATGGTGACACGACTAGGAAATATGGTTCTTTTGAGTAATGACGCTAATTCCTTGAAGGATATTTTCTATTCAAAATACATTTCAGTTTTTGAATTTCGCTTGTAACACCCTATCTTGCTTATCGCTTGATGTATGTCTTGTACAATGACTCAAGAACTTCAGCGTTGTTTGCAATTCAAGAAGTTCTATATTGTTATACACTAACTTGACTACAAGTTCCCTGAGTATTTGACATAGACTTCAGATTTCAGAAGTTATCGTCTCAAGATATTAATGTTTTCTAAGAAATAATGGATTAATTAAATAATGTAAATGTGGTAAGCCCTTGATGTTTTATTTTTTTCCTATCTGGATTAGGTTCTTAATTTGGTATTTACGTTACCCATTGATGTACTTGCAGGTGGATATGACTGCATTGAAGCAGATGGGAGAAAATGACCTCAAAGAGCTTGGAATTCCCATGGTAATTGTCCTTGTTTCACTTATGGGGGTTATTTAGATATTCAATAAGGCTTGAAGTTTATACTGAATATTTTCCTTATAGATGATTAAGAGTGTGTTTGCAACTAAATAAGTTGAGATGGTTCCAAGCCAAGTTTTGGCAAAAGCAAAACATGGTTCCGAACATGCACTAAAGCCTTGTCATTATGCCTAAGAAAGTGAAATGCAGCATGAGTTTACTTAAAGTGGTTTCTTGGCATTGTGTTTGCATTGTTATCTTCTGTGTTGTCTGTCCTGTTCAGGGTACCTCCTATCTTTTCCTTTTTTCCTCTGCAGTATCCCATTGTCTGGTTGTATTAATTAGTAGCAACTAAAAAACATTAAACAGAAAAATAGTCTCCGCTGCATATATTAATTTGGTGTCATATTTTACAATATACGGTGCTATCTATAGATTCTTCAAATTGGCCTACTACTTTTTTACTGCATGACATGGACTGAGTTGAATCTCTGCCTTTTCTTGCACTTTCTGCTCGGGATATGCTCCTAAATCCTTTTAACAGTCTCTGAAAGTTTATTTCTCAGTCGTGGACTCTCGGCTTTAATACTCTCTTTAAATAAAGTGAACTGAGCCATGTGAAAGATGTTATTCCTGGCACTTTGCTTGTCTTCATTTGTTGCCATTCGCTGCTGTTATTTTGTGCTTCTTTTGAATAGCATGTCACAAGTGGAATAAGGTGGAGCATTGTCATTCATTCATACATACATACATACATACATATATATTATGCGTAATTTGTACACTCTTGGTTAATGTGGTTTTATTTTATCTGTGTTCTTGAGTTGCAGGGCCCAAGGAAAAAAATTCTTCTTGCACTCTTGCCCCCCACCAAACGTCAACAGTGATATCTATTGTGCCTGACGCTGAGGCTGACACGTGTTCATCAGCCTTTGGTTTTTTATTTTTGGGTGATGATGAAGCATGTACATGAATATTTCAATGACTCCAACATAGGGGCCTTTTAACATAGGGGATTGATGTACTGGTGCCCTTTTGCGTTCAAGAACAAAGCTTGGGTTTTATAATCTTAGATAAATATGGGAAATATCGATGTGTATAATGTTCTCTCTCGTTTCTTTCCTTTCCTCTCGTCACCAAAGAAATAGGTAATGCCATAATGGAATCATCACTGTATACTGACTTGTGGCTCGAGTTCAACAACAAACATCTGGGCAGCTATTATTTATTATTATTTTTATTTTTATAAACAGAAGTTTGGCTGAATTGGGGCATGGATACAGTCATTGATTTTTATCAGACTGTGCTACTCTATTTTTCCCCCCCTGACCTGATGCTATTATCCTATCTTTCAAGCTGAATATTTATTTATTTATCTATTTATTTCATATCATTTAGTTTGAAACTAAACACATTTTATTTATTTGTAAAAATAAATCTTCGATTCGTTTAACAATCAAGTTTAATTGTAGCGTGCTTACATGTGCTTATATAATTATTATCATCCATTATTATTACTAATCATCAAAAGAACAACTTGGACGGTAAGGGCAGCTAAAATGAAAAGGGATGTTTCTGTTTCTTATTTATTAATTTATAATTAATATCATATCCATATAAGATTTGCTTCACATGGGCATGTATACTATGCTTGTTCCCTATTGTTTTGAATTTATGCGATGTGCTTGTTTTTTCGGTTGATCGCATGTTTGGGCATTTATTATTCTAAATTCAAATCTAAATCTAAATGCAGCTATATTTTATCAACCATAATTATAAAAAAAATATAAAAGGTTGCGTAAAGCATTTCTAAAAACAAATCATTCCAACCTTAGGTGAGACTCCAGAGGTTTTTCGACAAATGCACTTTGGTCTGATAATTTTTTTTAAAATAAAATCATTATTAAAAAAGAGGTTAAAGTATACTTTTATCACAAAAATATTATCGGGTGAGCTATGGATGTCCTAATAAATTATTAAACAATATAGCATATAATCTTTTAAAACTAGTGTAACGTTGCCCTTATTAAATAGTCAATTATTAATGCAATATTGCAATTCATGAGACTTTTTTTTTCACCCAACATTATATTGATTATTAAAAAAATAGCAAAATTGCACCAAATTTGCAAAGTTATATACGATACGACATTGCTCCACAATTTTCTGCCCAAGACTCTTTCAGAATACTTTTAGGTCAAAAATTAACTTTAATCCTTAAAAATAAAACAAGGGCAAGAAAACTCAATCAATATTAATATTAATATAAAGCATAAAATTTATATAAATTGTACAAGTTGTAGATAATACGAGTTATGTTGTAGACTCTGTAAAATACATATACATGAGAACAACAGGATGAATTATTTGAAGCACCTTCCAAGAAGTTTCTGATCCTTGCATGTGGATCAAATTTCATAGAGCTACATCTTTATATAACCAGGTTGTTAGAACACATTCATAATTGACTTTCAATGTGTAACCATGACAATTAAGTCAGACAATGACGTCATATTTAGGGAAATGAAGAGGAAAGAAAATGGAGAGAGACTTTTCTACGTTAGAGCTTTGTGGTAGTTTCAAAATATGTTTAGCAGACAAGAAAAGACAATGGGGTTTTATTTGTTTGATGCAAAAATGCAAGTATAGTGGGTAGGAAGAAAGAAAAATATGGTACAATTAGTCAATCTCTCTCTCTCTCTCATTCTCCTCAATTTTACGTAAAGGGAAACCCTTTTAAGAAATAATTATAATTGGAAAATGAGAATAAAAATGAAGGTTGCTCAATCGATTAATCTTGTGGTCACCGCAAGCAGCCACCAATGGATCCTCCTTATTGACACGAGATTCCTCTTCTTCATTGGTGGCTTCGTTGTAGGGATTCAAGGATCGATGTAGCTTTAAGGGTGAGAATTACCAATGTACTCAATGACTAAGAGTACAATAATCATGAATTTTTGCAGGCAAGCACCTTTCCATGGCTCTTGTGGAGGAAGCCATGTTAAATTATTTTAAGAGAAGTATATGAATTTTCTATGTTAATTTATTTTAAGAGAAGTATATGAATTTTCTAAGTAATCTAATAAATAGTGTGTACCTACATGGAAGCCAAATTTTGTTTCAAATGTGACCTGAAAAGTTTAAGAGTTGAGTAACCTATATGGAGACACTAACCTTGAATGATTGTTCAATTAAATAATTCAATTTCTTTTTTATTATAAAAAATTGAGGAAACCAACATGAAGATTTTTTTTTTGGGGAACTGAAACCTTGATGATGATATAATATTAATGAAATTTAAAAACATATAAAGTAACCAACAAAAGTTGAAATTAATAAGGATTTAGTTTATAACCCACAAAGTTATGACTTATGAGTTCAAATTTTGCTACTGATATGAGGATATTATTAATGAGCTATTTGTAAGTACTTTTTGAGCCCATGTGTAATTCATTTGGTGGGATTTGAAAATTTAAGATTTATATATTGGTTTCCAAAGTAAAAGGTTCTATACAAAAAAAAAAAGGCAGAACATTTAAGGGAATATTATTCATTTTTTCCCTTAAAAAAGCGACTCAAATCACTTCAAGAAAGAACATGAAACGATAAATATTTTTGCGTAATTAAGAATTCTGAAATAAATTTGGAACCCTGACAGAAGGAAACCAACAAGAAGAAAGGCAGACGCAGTCCGGAAATTTCTTTGTTGTCATATTAGTTGAAGTGCCATTAGTGCGCTTGATCCATCATTTGGCGTTACCAGACATTTCAAATCATTCTCTTTTTCAAATCTTATTGTAACTGCATTATCACACATTGCAATTTGCCAAACATGTTTTTTTTACCCCTCTCTTGGTCAGTAATGGCGGTCTATGAGGTCTCTTGAATAAAATATTGACAAACCATTTATTCAATTTTTAAATGAGTGGTACAGATTCTCTTATCGTAAACAAAGGATGCCACTTGTATCTCACAAAAATGACAAACCAACGGCAATTAGTTCAAGTAGTTTAATATTTGTTCCTCAATTCTTAAATAAAATATTAACAACCCATGAATTTATATTAAAATAAGTGGTATAGATTCTTGTCTTTTAAGCAAAGGATATATTGACAAACTATTGATTCTTCTTGAAATGAGTGGTATAGATTTTTGTCCATTAAAATTTAAAAATTTATGAATTAGTTAAACAGAGGGTACTTCTCTTAATAGGTATTTAAACATTCATTTGTCACATTACGTTACGAAGAATTAATTTTTTTTTGCTAGATCCAATCCTTATTGGTGGGCTAGTATAATTTCAAAAATAATTAATATACAAACAAAATATTGATAAAGGGAGAATGATAATAAATTCCAAAACAATAAATTTATTACAATTAATTTTCTGGCAAAATTTTCTTAAAAATAATTTTCAATATTAATTTAAATAAAATTCTCAATTTGTAGTCGGTATTCCTATTTATTTCTATTTGAGCTATTATTTGCAATTTATTATTTATCAGGACTTCACTGTCATAAATTTTTAATCTTGGGATTTTTTTATCCTTCTTCCTATTTGATAAACCAAGCATTACTTTAGACTCTTCCAGAAAAGCGAGGTTTTTGTAGTAAAATATAGCAACTGTAACTGAAACAAATATTAATTGGATATGAAGGTTGCTAGATAGCAACCACGTGAAAAATTAATTAATTAATCTTGGTATGCTCTCAAAGTCCAACGTGTATCGTAATGAAATTAATTAGATAAAATAAATCAATCAATCAATCACTAAAACCACCCACTAAGTATATATATTTTGAATCGAAATATGCTATGATGACTGTGCATGCCCACTTGGAATTTTCGTCCTAAAGCAAGAAACCAATTTGAACATCGTTTATAATTTATATATGAAAGAAAACGAGATGGAATTGATTGCCATTTGGCATGAGATAAGCATGCACATATAATAATATCGGTGAGAGTTCTTTTCTTAAATTTTATAAATTTGTGAGTAAATTAATAAATTTTTTAAAATTATAAAATTAATTAATATAAAAAATTAATAATTACAAATGAATTTAATATTAAAAATATGAAAAGAAGAAGCTCCTTAAAAATTATGAAAACATAATACTATACTTTTAATCAAATTTCAATTCAGTTATTATGATATAAGACTACTATAATTTAATATAGTCATCGTCACTTTTAATATAGTGAAAATATTTATTAAATGTAATTTATCAGAAAGTATTCTGACACTATAAATATATATAGTTTTTTCCAAAATAAAATTTAAAAATAGATAGTAAAATAAAATTGGATCACATATAGAAGCCAAAATATTAAAAAATAATATTAAATACTAAATTAAAAATTTCTATAGTGTGATAAATAAAAACATTATTTTATCTTGGCTAAAAATCATTATTTCCTCCAACAATATATCCAAATTTGGTTGTGTAGAGATAAATGAGTGGCAGCGGAACTAGTTTTAGATTTTATATATTGATATGTTGATGTGGTGATTTTTATAACTATTTAACACAGATATGTCATTTTATATTTATTTTATTTTTTTAAAATTCATATGTTTTTAGCACCTAAAGCTAATCAACTTGTTAGGTGGCCTGTAAGAGTGAGATGAGATATTAGTAGAGGATAAAACTTCAAATCTTTCCATATATAAAAAATTTATATGAGTAACGTGAAGTTGTAAAAATTTATGTTTAATGTATTAATCATATGCATTATCTTTTGAAAATATTATTAGTTTATTGGTGAATTAAGGTTGTACATAAGTCTATCATTCTCGTACAACTTAAACAAACCTAGTTCAACTCGATTCTATAAAAAAACATTGATTTGAAGAATTAAAAAGACTAATAAGATTAAACTTCATCTTTGGGTTACTTGATAGGGGATCGAGTTTTTAGATCATTTAGTCTAGTTTTGTTCTGTAAAATTATTTTAATATAATTATAATTATTTTAATATTATAATTATAATTATAATGTGATAAAATCAATCAATTTATTATCGATTAGCCTTTTATGTTTTGTGATAAATTTTATATAATTATAAATATTTTTTTATTTTAATTAAATTTATAAAGT